GTGTCAACGCAATAACAACGCATAAATATCGTACAGATTAGATGTCATTAGAATAGTTTTCGAAAAGTCAAAATACCAGTACATTGTTTTCTGTGTGATAAATTTATTTATGAAGCAGAGTATTTAAAATATAAGGCACTCAATGAATACAAGACACTTTTTCAGTGATAAAACCCGTGTACAATCCCAAATGACAGAATGACAAATGGATAATGAAACAATATATATCAAAGTGCTCTTACAAAAGCACTTTTATAAAAGCAGTGACTTGGTAATTGGCTGGCCCCAAGTCATTGTAAAGGCTCACTTGCATACAATTGTTTCTTCGACTATGAGGTAGTGTGCGTTCGGTGCATGCCTGCGGAGGGTACCGAAGACGCCGAATCCTTTATCCTTTTTATACTCAAAGTATGAGAAGGCTTACTCAGCGCGACCACCAGGCTATCAGAAGTGCAATGGACACTAAAGCGCAATAGAGATCAGGCCAAAAGAGTAAATTTGAGGCTCACAGCGCTAGGAGGTTTGCGTTGCATAAGCGCACGTTCGGAGAAAGCGAAGAAGTTGAAGAGAGAGTAAAGAAGCAAGTCTTGGATGTAACACACTATCCTGGCGAGAAGGAAGCGCATTACCGTTTGCGACCCGAGTTGGGACAAACTGCAAAATCTCGAACATGTGATCCGACGACAGTATCTAGTGGCCTTTTCTAAAAATGTTATATTTTTCTTGCAACTAAATGTAAAGTACAGGGTAATTATGAGTCGAAACGGTCGGTAAAGTGGAAAAGAATATCATTTACTCCTTTCCACTTTATGGCCAATTTCCAGGAAGCGTTACAAGCTTTGCTGTTGGGGCTTAATTTGGAACAATGCTACAATTCGTACATATTAGCGGGCACTTTTGTTACCTGACAGCACTCTTATTGAAGGATTTGCTCAATTTACATTCTCTGCTATTCTTTTGTGAATCTGTAATAGGTATTGGAAGGTCGATTACACATTTAACAATGCCAAAAAGAAAGCCAGGTAATTAACGGTTATAAATTGTAGACACACACGTGAAAGTGAGATGAGGCACTGGAAATGAATATATGGATTTTGCTTGTTGTAAGTTGCCTTCCTTTTTTGCTGCGCTGGACCCATGTCATTCAGGTTTAAAATTTCCCCTTCATATGTGTTGGAAAGACGGAAAATGTATGTCAGGGTACCAAGTATCCACTGAATGATGCTGTACAAGAAGAATTTCAGCAAGCAATGAGAGCAAGAAGATTGGTTGGTTTATAAGAATGTATCTCTCAAGCATTAGTGCATAAATTATAGAGAAACGCTATTTTTGCAGGCTTTTGATTGCAGACTTAGAAATATGGTTAAAGCGTTCGCTAAGTGGTACAGCGGTCTTGACTGGTTTGGTGTTGTCGAGGCAGACAACGAATTCATATTATTTGTCGACATTGACAGGAGATATAAGAAAGATCTCACTGCAGCTCAGTTGCTTTTCAAAAAGTATGGAAAAGATGTCAAAGTGGTGAGAAGTTATTTGCTATTTCCCTGTGGTGCTCGTTTCTGACAGAACGGGGAAGAATTATTTCAAACAAGGTTCTGCATGAGCTGGCACATCCTCCGCTGTACTTTCAACAATACTTCATTTCCTGAATCTATGTATTCTTCTAGTGGACACAAACGCTGCAGTCGATCGAAGCACCTGCACTATTTGGATGTGCTCGAAATAGGGCGGATTGGCAAGTCGTTGTCGCTTGCATCTTCGCAGGGAGCAAACTAACTTATGAGGAGTTCTATAGGATACTAGATGTTCCAAACATATATAGACGCACTCGGCGCTTGAAATTTGATAAATGATTTTTGTTGAAATACTTTGTAGAGCACTAGAACGGTGTATGAGCCCTAATACGTATGGAATGTTCAGTACGAGCTCAAACTAAACTTTCCATTGAAGCTTAAGAGATGCGAAAGAAGGTGATGGTGTAGTCGTATGCAAACACGGCTTGAAAAAAAAATTCCGAGCAGGATATTCGATAGCGGGAGGTGAGGGGCGGCGTGGCAGGATTCTCCAAAGGCTTACCGCTAACTCTAGCTCACCCTTGAGAGCCAATTTTACTCGCTCTATCTCTCGATTATCTCGTACAGTTGAGTAGATTTTTCGCTCAATAAGTGTACTTGCACTGTAGGAGAAACGCGGTAAAATTCGCGCGTAATTAGCCACGCCAATAATGCCGGCATTCTGCGCAAGCAAATGGAAGGCGTCATAGGCGTAGCTACTTCTTCATACGCAAATTTTACCGCATTTCACCTACAGTGCAAGCACACTATATTAAGCGAAAATTCTACTCGACTGTACTTATTTCGCATATTTCCTCACTGGAGGGCGTTCCTAGCAACCTTCCTCGCACCAAGTTCAGACCAGCATTCGCACCCAGGAGGGTTCTAGCACTGCGCGCCTGGGAAGTCAGGCTCGCCCATTGCTTCGCCCATTCACTGGTCTCAATGTGAAGTGCGCAAGCAGCGAGAACATACATGGTGGAGCAAAAGTCTGGGAGCCGACTTTGCAGTGTTGTTTGTCACGAAATTACTGATGATATTGATTCCAAATTTGTGCCACATAATGCTACGATCATCCTATCATCCTCTACACACCACATTATACATAGTCAAAAATGCTTGCCATTTTTTATTGAATTGGATTTAGCAAATAAGTGCTTCTGCAGAGCTTGGAAATCAAAATTTTTAACATTAACAATTTATTCCGTAGCTAAAGATATTGTGAATATTCTACAGCATTTTGATGTATACAATGTAGAGAATGCTATGCGCTATCACATCGTTGTCATTGCGTTTGCCAGCAACTATTCTTTCGAAAACGCAATCTAAAATTTCAGAATATTACCTGCGTGCTAGTGGCCATTTATCTTTGAAATAAATTTGAAAGCTTCAGAAGTGCAACAATACTGAACTTTAGACCATTTTCTTTCCATGAGTCTTCTGTATAAATGTCCATTTGGATTCGATTGATAGAGCAACTTCGATACTTTTTAGAACATGACTTCTCGCTCCCGTTCGAGCAAGAGCATCAAATTTTACGGTATGCGAGTACACTTGCCTTCACTTAAAATTCCAAATTTTTCTTCTAAACGTTGCAGAAAAAAATTGGTTCTCGATATGTTGTAGCCAAAAGCTTGCTTTATCATGTTGCAATTTGCCAAGTGAAAGAAGCAGTCATCGTGAAGGCGTGGTACGAATTTCATCACGACTGCCTGCGTGCCGCGACAGGCAGACTCGCCAAGATTTCGAAGGGCTGCTTTGAAAACAAAAGAGGCAATCTCAGGATATGAGAGCTGTCTTGTATTTGTAAAGGTTCGATTCATGTGTGCACCAAACTTTTCGCTTTCAGGTACCTTTCTTCTGATTTTATCTGGAAAATACTAGGCTCCCAGACTTCTGCCCCTTCCTGTAGAATCAGATAATGTAATAAGAGGAAAATGGGGAAACAAAAAAAGAACATCATTTATCAAGTGAGGCGTTGGAGACTCCTGCTACGCCATCCTTTCAAAAACAGCATTGGAACATTATTCCCGGAAGAAATAATTTGCACAAAATTTTTTTTTTCAATAAAGTAGTCATGCGAAATATAAGAGAATCTACCTGATTGTAATCTGATTGAAGTAATTCAGCATCGGGATTTATGAACAATTGAGTGATCAGAAGTGGTTGAAAATCCAATTACCTGTTCAACATTGAGAAGATCTATCCTAAAAGGAGTGTATCGCAATAGATATTCGAAAACACATAGGCCCGTAGTAAACCTCGATCAGGGGAGTTAATCTCCGCTGAAGCCTTCATATGAGGATCCGTTAGGTGAAATGACGACCGCCCACTCCCCACGCCATAAGAATGCCACGTCACCTGACATGTGAGCCTGAGGTCAAGTTCGGCAGGAAGATTATCTCCCTGACGAGTCATGGGAGAGATCAAAGCGATGGTCTCCCGAAATAGTGTGCTAATGAGGAGATTTAGAAAGAATTTCCCTAACTTACTCCTGAGTGACTTACGATACACGTCAGTTGAACATGTCGACATACTGAGTGAGGAGCCATAGTGCAGGCTGACGGTCTTCAGCAAGATCCAAGAAGCGCGACCACATCCGTTGCGAAAGCGAAACACCGATGGGCCAGAGAAGAACAGACGGCAGATGGCCACTAGGAACATCTGAGTGGATTCATCGCAAAGCCAAACGTCCCCGAGGAAAACCTCCAACGAAATGGGCACACGTGTTCGTGGAACGTATGGACCAGCTAAGAAATCAGCTGGATACGATTACCGCACCTAGAACGCATGAACGCAGTCACCGAAGACAACCAAGAAGATCGTGAATGTCTGAAGCGAGGGACAGGGATAAATGGAAACTTCGGTGCTGGGGCCCGCAAGTCACGTGAAGCCGGGCCATTTAAGTAACTAGATAGGTAAGTATTTGTGTGTTTTCACAGTATTTCAGTCTTTTCACCACTTACAGAATGACATTCATAGCCTCCGGTGAGAGGAAGGAAAAGGGATAGTGACTAGAGACTAGTGCAGTCAAGGTCCTAAAGCAGTACCAATTGGTGATGTAGATTCAATGCACTTTCCTTCAACTTCTTTTATGATCACCTTGATGCTTCCACTATTCTCCTCTATGTAGCTCAAGAAAAAGCTTTATTAAATGATACCCGTTTAAATTCACTAACCGAGACGACCGTCACTGGAATTGTTGCACCGATAAATACAGGTGAGATATACAAAGTAAAGTAGATATTGTGAAAAAATGGCAACTTTAAATATTTTACAGAGTGGCAATTCTACCCTAATCTTTCATAGTAGGATTAGAAAGAAGCGGAAATTAAACATTAGATGTGAACGGAGATAGATGAGCACTAAAGTTGCCCTAATCATCTCGTTTCCTACTTCGAGGTTCGTATATTGAGTTGAATTTCGCTGCTTGTGGTATAGATCAGATTACTCCACAATATGCTTTCCAAGAACTTTCAGTTCGTCTGGAGCTCGGACAACCCATTCAGGCCAACCGCCAAAGTAAACTCGAGCGTCGTAATTCAGTCTCCTCAGTACCCACCAAACCATAGATGATCGAAGAGAGGTGGAACAGTAGATAATCTGGAAATAGTTCTCCTTCATTGCAACTTGTTTCGGACTTTGTGTTTGCCTTCTCAAGGCGATAAGCAAGATTAGTAACTCTCTTTAGCCAGAACGTTTCGGTGCCGTCACCTTCGTCAAAGCCTTGAAGGTCGTACTCATTAGTAACTTTTACTCCCGTACACCTACATCTCGTTTAATCTAATACTACATTCTGCATCACGGTGGCGTGAAACCAGTAATGGGGATCGGATTCTATGCTCACCAGGGCATTCAAATCGAGGGTTAAATGAGGCTTCGATCTGTGTGTCACGGTCGGCGCTGCTCGGACTGCTCGGGTCCTTGCGAGCCTCCACGCTTGGGTCTCTTGCCGCGTTCACCCTCTGCGGATAGGTATTCTTCCATGCTTGAGGCGTGAGGAATACTGTATTTTTAGGCTTTCAATGGCTGACGAGCTTAAGAAAATGCTCGAGACACGTTCGCGGACGCGTCGAGTGGCCCAAGCGAGGCGGCTCGCGAAGAACCGAGCAACTCTGAACGTGACTCCCAGGCTGAAAGTTCCGATACCACCAAACACAGGTCTGCACAGTTAGTAACAGCTAAGCGTAAGGGACCCGTCATACTTCGCCGAAAAAGCCAAAAAAGCCCGAAAAGCCCAAAAAACCGAAAAAGCTGAAATGCCCCTTCCGTTTTGACGCTAAGGCATATGTGTTGATTTCGCAACCGAGTCTTTTTGCTTCGTTTTCTGTCGTCTGCACATCAAAATAATGTCAGAATTCCACCAGTAGTTCGTTCCTGCGTTCCGGCTCCTTCGAGCTTTTTCGGGCTTTTTTCGACTTCTTGGGCTTTTCCCGGTTTTTCGGGCTTTTTTGGGCACTTTTGGGCTTTTCTCGGCGAAGTATGACGAGTCCCTAAGAATATCCTGTGTAGAGGAGTCTTATCTTACTAGGGTAGGACCCAAAATCAATTTTCCAAAGCAAATATTTCTCGTTCTGAAGAGCATCAAAGCTAGTTCCAAAACTGTCGTTGTTTTCTGCTAAGCACCTTCAGACGCCGATAAAGTGTGTGAGTGTAGCAAAAGGTAGAATCAATGACTATGGTTTTTTATACGCTCAAATGAAGAAGTTTTGAGTAAGAGTAGGTTAGGCAGAAGCTTTTTCATGCAGGGTACTCTAATATCCAATGCTGGGCCATTTGCGCAGTCTTAGACGAATTTGTTCCATTTGCGCGTTCAATTTTTAGAGCGAAAAAACGCTCAAAATTCGGCGTCTAGAGGCGCTTGGCAGATAACAAGGACAGTTTTGCAATCAGCGTTTGATGCTCTTTAGATTGGTGTATATTTCATGTGGAAAGCCGATTTACTTCGCGCCCTCCTCTTAATGTACGTCAAATTCGCAAAAGGACTGATTATGAGACTAGATCGATGTTCAAAGAAACGCCCTCTGCGGTTCATTGAACGAACTTTAGATGTTATCCAAAATGCTTCTAATTACGAGGGATCACTTCGGGTTCACGCGTTAGAATGATGGCTATGATAAACTGTTAACTCATCAAACTGCTATATATCAGAAACATTGGTTTGACCAATAAACTGCTATCAATCATGACTGAGTGCTTGAGAAAACAAACACAAATTACAATGCTATACTATAATTCACCAGTAGCTTGAAATCTCTTTTAAGATCCCAAGAAATGAGTATCTAGCTTACCACTGGTTTGCTATGAGTTAGTCCAGCGTTTTTCAATGCGCTTTCAATCTCAGCTGCTGATCTCCATTTGTTCAATTTCCAGTCGTACAACGTATCCACAGGTACGTTCACAGCTCCTTCAATGTGACCATAGAGGGCTCCTGAAGCTTCTCCAGAAAATTCCTGGAAGCACTCCGTTATTTATGCAGAGGGTAATTTCATGCCTAACCTCTTTTGTTTGAGCATCAACAATGTCATAGTTACGCAGTTCAGTATTTAGAAGCACATCGTCGAAAGTAATCACCATCGATTGATTCCACGATGAGAGGAAGTTTCCTAAATCACAAAATTTATCGTTAAGATAGGGTGACCTAAATTCTGCAAAAAAAAGGTACTAACTTACCTTGACCCGCTGACGGCTCATCTCCGCTGTCAGTGTGATACTGTGCCGAACGTGCCATTTGAGTTTTCCAGACCAATAAACCACCACTCAAAATGGAGACTTTTTGATGTCCGAATAGCTGAAAAGGTCTCTGTTGCAATATGGTAGACTTTCTAGCCATAGTAGTAATTTTTCACCTTGAATACCCAAGCGGCATATGTGCTCCAGATCATTTGGCCTCGATCGTAGATGACTACGTGGCAGTCGCTATCTACGCCAAGTGATCTAACGTATCTAAAAGAAAATCAATTTACATTTTTATGCCACTTCAACAGCTTAAACGTGAGCATTCGGCCATTTTTTTACCTCGCAAAAGAAATTTTTATTTGGAAAAGACAAAAGATTCCAAATATGTTTGTTCCGCTACGGTGCTTGCCTCTTGAAGAACGCTTCTTCTGCATGTTCATTGCGATATTTGTGTACTTACATAAGAGAGAAGAAGATATTGAAGAGATCAAATGAGACTGTACTCAGTTTGTTTTGAATAACATTAACTATCAAAAAGTTAATCAAAGTCTTGCACCAAAATTTTCTAAGAAGCTCGTCATGAAGATGTTTGAAAGGGACAAACTATGGGCTTTTTGATATAAGAAGGGCATATGTAATCTAATCTGTTACACAATAAATTTTTTTTATGATTCTACAGACGTACTGCCTGATTATTTTGCAGTTAAGAGGAACAAGGCTTCAACTTCTAGGACTAGGAAAAACTTCATGGCAGTAATTTTTTCCTATCGAACATTTTGGCATTTTTTGCGATTTTTGAATTTTCACTTTTTTGTTCTAATCGGCTAGTATAGTAGCTACAAATTCAACGATGCTGCTTCTAGCATCATTAAAGTGCACAAATTTTCTTCTTTTTTCACAAAATACATGTAATGAACAATTTCGTTCCAAAAGAATAAAAAAGGTGCTAGACTTTCGAACCAACCTAACAACGAACAAAATAAGACCTTACCTCTGGAACTGAAGGGGATGCACAGGAACACCAGAATGACTGAGATTCGAATGGTAAAGCAGTTGAGCCGATTCGATGTGCTCAGTCAGGAATTGTTCCCTCAAAAATTATCGATAAACTAAATGCATCATAATTTTGATGATTAAGAGATAAATCGAAGCCACGGAAAAAAGCAACTTGGACTTGAATTTACTGAAAAAGAGGCAAAATTTTACGTTTCTTTTTTCAAGTCTTACAGCCAATTAATCATTGTTCAATGCGGGTTATATTTAATTTCGACATTTTGACCCTAAGATTTTCTCAATATCCAATAGACTGCAGCTGATGGACTACCTGCTCCTATCCTCATCGCCGGTGCTAGCTTCAAACAGACAAATCTTCCTCTTTGTAATCAAAAGCGTTAGTAAATGATTTGGCGTGACATCCACTTCGTATTTTTTCGGTAGAATTGGAGAATTTGATGACTGAGCGTCGTTCGAAACCTTAGAAGTTCTCATAAGAAAATTTTGTTTGAGCGTAAAATCAGAGCTTACCTCATCTCGTGAAATGCGTGGATAGGGCGCATTTGTCCTGGACCCAAATAACAATAGTAGAATAATAGCAATAACTAATATGAGGAAGACTATGGTTATTATTGCCGAGAGTAGGATAACTCGCCATCGTGGAGATGGTTTCTGCAGAATTTCGTAAATAGCAGAAACGTCTAATATTTCCATGACAAAAATTTACAGCAGCTGCTCGCTAACCTTCTTTGTGTTATGAATGGCTAGATGTGTAGGATTCAGCGGTGGAGGAAGCGGGGGCAGAGAATTAACAACCTGGAAAATTTATAGTTTCCAAAATCTTTTGCATTTTGCCTTGACCGCGTCATCATTCCCGGTGACCTTAACTTTGATAAGATCCCTTCCCTATAAACAACGATATAACAACGCTAAATGACCCAGAAAAAGTAGGTTGCGTACCCAACATTTCGTCACCCGAGCGCTAGTGAAAATACGCTTGATTTGATTTATCACAGGTTATCGGGCGGATTCGCAACAAAATACTTGGTAGACAACATTTTTGAAGTTCACGAAGAATTACGTTGATGAGAAAAAAAGAAGAAAGAAAGTCTGAAAACTTACTATTCGTCTTGAGCTATCCGGTCGGCTTGAGTGACTATCGCCTTCACATGCACTGACTTCGCCATAATAGAAGTCAAGGTCCTCATACTCCTAAAAATATTGAGATTAAAATGGTCCAAGTACAAGAGAACCGAAGCAACAATATCTAGTTTATTACTGACTGAATCTTCAGTGCTAGTGTGGCACAACTCAACACTGCTTGTTTTGTAGGGATTGTACTGAGAACGCCAACTTTCCTTCTTAAATATTCGGTACCATTAATAAAAACTTTGATACATTCGTTAGAAGCATAAATCTTGCAACATTTTCAAAATTACGGAATCTCCTACAATTTTAATAGTCCATTTTATTTCACATTTTTTAGATAAAACAACTCATGCATTTTCTACTACTACTCAACCAGATGATGTAAAATTGAAAGACTTTTTTTCCCTTCCAGGTGCAAAAATGCTGCAAGATGGCATGCAGAGGTTTATGGCCTATTTTTTACGGTTACGGAAAAATTCGTATTGATGAATGTTTCAAAAAATAGTGACTAGAATTTTGTGAAATCTATCCGTCAAAGCGAATGCTCATCAAAAGCTCCCAAGAGAATCTTATCTGTGTTCGTTAACTTTCAAAAGGTGGAAAGATTGAAATCTCAAAAACAGCATCTGAAATGATTTGTACATATGGAAGGCCCTACGAAAACACTTGAAAATATAATAATGACCATGGTGAAGTCAATTTGAGAAAAAGCTCCATATCTGCTCGTTTCTACTCTGTTTCTTGAAAAACGACTTCGGAATTTACCACTAAAAATAGATTCAAAAAATTGTTCAGAGAAAATACGCTGTGGACGGTTGAAGGCTGCGGTTTTCTTGCTAGTTTTGGTAAAAGATACAGCATCAAATATCAGCATCATTCGAAAGGTGGAAATTGAAGATATTGAAGCCATTACACATTTCGACATCAAAATCAGTCTCTAAATTATGGAGCAAACGGAAATTTGTAAGAAATGAAAGCAATGACGGCGCAAGCATGAATACGAATCTCAAAGAGATTTTCGTAAAGTTTTTTTCATGGAAAAAAGATTATAGAATTAGTTCAGTTTGGATATGCGTTCAATGGGAATCTGTGTGGTAGATGACTCTAGTAAACTCCCGACGGGACCCGCCATACATCGCCGAAAAAGCCTCAAAAGCCCGAAAAAGCCGAGCCGCTTCCGTTTTGACGCTAAGGCATGTGCGTTGATTTCACACCCGAGTCTTTTTGCTCCATTTTTTGTCGACTGCACATCACACTGATGTCAAAATTCTACCAAAAGTTCGTGGGTAGTGGAACGAAAGCCGCCAGCTTCGGTCACCTGCGCGGACTGCTGGTTCTGGAACGACATCCAACAACGTCGCGAAAGGACCAGTTAGCCGCGAAAGGCGGCTCAAACTGGCGGCTTTCGTTCCCCTACCCAAAGTTCGTTTCTGCGCTCCGGCTCTTTCGGGCTTTTTCGGGCTTTTTGGGTTTTTTTTCGGGCTTTTTTGGGCGAAGTACAACGGGTCCCTAAAGCTACCATTTTTGAGCTCGAATTTTCGAAAAAAGCTAAAAATCTGCCAGCCTTTGTGATGCCAGTCTCAACGTTTTGATAAAATGTCTTACCTTTTGTGTTTCCTTCACAGTTTTGTAGTCCTCGGACTCGTGCATGCTGAAATGATTCTTTCATATGTGTGCAAACGACTTCTTTTCAAGTTCTCATCAAGCCGAGCACTTATGTGGGACGTAAACCTCTTTTGAAGGTTAGAATGACCTTCCGATTCATTTAGAAATAGTCTCCTTTGTGTAATTGCTATCATATCATAAAAGAATGCTCACGATGTGCAAAAAACTAATGTTTTCGAGTTTCTTCAGCCGTTTCGGACTTGTTTCGAGATGACCTTACGAAAACTGAACTCTTTTCGAGGCCAAACACGCGACTACCGACTATGATGCGCTGGCTAGATCAGATGACGAGAAAAGAAATTGCTTGTTGGTATTCTGCGAAATTCTGGGGGAATTCTATTCGAGATATAATCAAAGAATATTACGTAAGCGCTCAATCCAACAAAATGCACAATGCCTAAAGTGACTTCTACGAAATCTAAGGTAGAGTCTTGCTAGGAAGTGAAAGCAAAAAACCAATGAAATAAATCCTATACCTTGCAAAGAAAGAAAGATAATGGGGAACGGTGGAGCGACGAAGTTTTCTTAAGAAGGGGTGGGCTGCAAACGATTTTCCTTTGAATGAGATATCGTGGCATTAGCCACTTACAGCGAAAGAGCTTTTTGGGATACTTTTCAAAAATTTTGCGGGCCCATACCTCAACATCCTAGAAGAAGGGGAGAGGGAATGGGGAGACAAATCTGAAAATTTTTTTCTCTTCCAAAAAATTTCTAAAAATTCAAAAATAATTCCAGTCATTTACGAGTGAAAACTATATATTCCTTGCACAGTTCTATAATACAGATAGGCAACTTTCAAAAATTTCGCAACCCATCCTCGGGGTGAAGGGGGAGGGGCTTCCTACCTTTTGGTTAGCCATTAGAAAGAAGTAGTTTGTACAAAATGTATTTTTACTTAGAAGGAAGTAGAGCTGAAGAAGCCTAAGCTATGACGGAAAGCATTTATTTGCCGTATATAAACAGCGAATTTACAAACATTGAGAGAAGAATGCTCATGAAGATGGACAAATATGGATAAGGTTTTCTTGTGTGAAAGGAGAGGGGTGGAACTAGATGGAAGAAACTTCGACAGTACGAGCCTCGTTTTTCTGACCACGTTTACTTTATTTTCAGATAGCGACTCTAAAAAATGCAAAAAATATGGATTGTCGACTGTCACTTTGCTTTTGATTCTATTGAAAGTTATCATCGTATATTTGAAACCCCACTTTTTTCAGTAAATTGGTAAATTAGGAAAATTTAAACGACATCTACAAGTAACGTCTAAAATTTACGAAGCGGTATTCAACCGTCACGATTTTTTAAATCGTACGCCTAATTCAATGATTAACGGGAGGCAACAGGATTAGGCAGTAAAAAGTAGGAAAATTTTGTGTTCACCAATTGGGCCATGAGCAGTCTATATGCATTAAAATAAAAGTAGGACATCAACTATAATATAAATAGAAGTTTGTGCTGTGAGACTCTGGTGCCGTTAGACACAACAAATTCTACTCGCCGGAAGAATGTACGAGTAGTGAGTGAGCCGGCAGTATCGGCGATTTTCTAGGGCACATTGGGAAAACCGTGTAAGATAATGATCTTCTATAGAGGTAACGAGAGACAAAACATAGCGGCGGCGCCGAAAACGCAGTGCTTAGCGAGCGACGAGCGCCTAGCTACCATCCCGAACTGCGAGACCCCATTTTAGGCGAAGCGTAAGGCCGATGCGTAGATGGAATTCGCGCCGTCCCATCAGAACGACAATCTAATCGCGCTAACTCTGCCCGATCTGTACTTGTGGTTTTGAGTTCTGGAAAAAGTCAATAGGTTAATAGTTACGGGGTTAATTGCCATGGGACAGCGCAACAATGGGACGTTCGAGAATCGAAAGAAGCGAAAACTAGGAACAAGATGGGAGTGGGAATTCTGTCCAACACTCGAACTAAGCCAAAATGCTTTACAGATTGTATTTTTAGTTAGCCACTTAGACAATTCACCGGAACTTCCGCAGAACAAGCAAGATTCGCAGCGGTTCCGCAGGATTTTATTTTCTACTGCAAAAGTAAAAACGTTGAAAATGAGAACTTCCGCAGGATTTTCAGTCAAACTAGTTGAAAACGGGATCTTCCACAGGACCTCTTACAAAGCGCTGCGGAACTTCCGGAAATGCTGCGATTCGGCAGCACTTTCACATGCCGGTACCTCCGCAGGGTTTTGAATGGTTGTCTCGTGATGTTCCCTCGCCAACAACTAGAGTGCATTGTCGAATATGTAATCCGTAGTGCAAAAGTAGTAGGTGGGTCTCACAGTCGAAAAAGTGAGGTTTAAATCTCGCTTAGGTGTTCTCTTTTGCAGTTGTGGTTCCCAATCTTCGGAACTTCCGCAGCAGCTTGTTTGAGAACATTCGCAGCACGTTTACGGAACTTTAGGTGACCCAGCGGAACTTTTCCGAATTCTGCGGAAGTTCCGGTAAGTTGTCTGAGCATATGCTAGTTTTAATCTCAGTGAGTTTGTACTCAGTACTGACCGGAGCTTCCGCAGAACGTTTGGAAGAGTTCCGCAGGGTCACCTGCGGAAGCTCCGTGAATGTGCTGCGGAAGTTCCCAAGAATGCGAACCACACCAACAAAAGAGAACACCTAAGCGCGATTTAAACCTTACTCTATCAAGGGCCGGGCATAGTTCACGCGATTTCAGTCGCGACGTGCTTTGGCAATTCGCCAGAAGTCTTCAGATCCAACACCAGCAAACTGCACATGCATAGTGTGTATAACCTATGTGGATTGATAAAATGCCCTATCCTCTGTACATTTAAAATGTGCTTACAGTGAGTTATGGACAGACGGAATATCGGCCCTTTAAGTGTGAGACTCACTTAATATCCTCTGCACTACGGCTGATATGTTCGATAATGCTATCTAATTGTTGGCGAGGCAACACTGTAAAAGACCACACATTTGAGACCATGCGGAAGCACTGGCAGGCCAAAGAGCTGCAGAACTGGTGGCATTTTTCGGAAGTTCCGAAAAAAAGACTCTCGTCTCTTTGTAAAAAGTCTGCGGAGGTTTCCGTTCTCAACCAGTCTGACGCGAAAATCCTGCGGGAGTTCCGTCAACGTTTCCACTTTCGCAATAGTAAAGAAAGTCCTGCGGAACGTTGCAAATTCTGCTTTTCCTGCGGAACTTCCGGTGAATTGCTTGAGTAATCGAATATGTATAGGCCAAGATTGAGATTGAAGCAGTTTTATTCAACTTGTACTATTTGCCCGAGATTTGAGAGAGTCTTGGAACTGTACGACGTCAAACATAAACAACTCGGCAACCTTCGCTATTCAGCGATATGGGCTCAGTAAGTTTACGCTATGGATTTCACTCAACCTGATCACTGAGGCTTTCACATGGTGGGTGATGCTAAGGTTACGGTTGATGCACGGCAATAGCGGGTCGAATATTGCAAAACTTTGGACTTGTAGAAGACTGAAGTTATATTTACGAATATATGGAGATTCAAACCGCTTCGTCAAAAATTTTGGCTTGCGTCGCTGCAGCTACGGCCCCTTTCCTACAAATCGGAGGTAGCCAAATAATTCCAAAAATAAGCACTGAGATTTTTTCGGTCATCTGAACGCCTTTTGTCTCCGTCGTCCCCCCCCCCCTCCCCCTCCTCCAGAAAAGATGTCTTTCACCTACAGTGGTGTATGGTTCATTTATAAAATCGTGACGACGGATTTTGCTGCGGACTTTGCGCCCACATGAGCATAAAACGCTTATACAAGAAGGCACCACCTCAAGGTTCAGCTCAGTCACTTCCAATGTCTAGATATTATCATATGTAAGCAAAAGCCATCGGACTACAGATGAAGACCAAGAAAATGCGATCTCCGGAAGTGGCGTGCGTGTCGCGCGCGGTCACGCCATCGTCACGATTTTTCAAATGCCCTATACCCTTGGAACTGATTCGGCCAAATATGTAATTCTGACTGCCTTCCCTATGCTTGCGGTTTGTCCAAAAAACCTTATCATGCTGGATGGTATGGGTCCTGATTGCTTGTCTCAAAAATAACATAGACCTAATATGAGTGAAGTTTATTATTATGAGGGGCATTCATAAAAGTGAAAAGCGCTGATTTTCAAAGGTAGGCATGGATGAAATCTACTCTAGGCAGGAAAAACTATATCCCCTCCACTTCAACACATTGCTGTCTGCCAACAGGGACCAAAGCCTTCACGAATTAGTCAACCATTTATAATTATGCATGCTGTCATCTATAGTATACCTACAGTAGTTCTGAAACGCTGACAAAAAAGATTGAGATTATTTCCAAATCCAGTGCGAAAGAAAACTCTTGGAATGACTTTATCCCGTGACAGTCGTCATTTTAACCAGATTCAAGCTTTGACACACCATGTGTGTCAAGCGTTCCCATGCGGTAGTCATTGCTTGACACTCCATGTGTGTCAAGCGGTCGTCAGTGTGTTAATGATGCAAAGCTGATTTAAAGTCGCCTTCTCCTTGTCCTTCATTAGTTAACCCATCCTCTTCCCCTCCCCCCATACTATGGAAAATCTATGTGATAAATCTGAATTGTACTAATTGAATCTAATTGTAATAAATAATATAATATAATATAATATAATGTAGTATAATATATATATTATACTATATTAATATAATATAATATAGTATAATATATAATATTATACTAATCTAATTGTACAATCAATGCCAAGCGAATTATATACGCATGCGCAACGCAAGGACCCTGTGTGCAGAGGTGCGATAGGTGGAGCCGGGCCCCCCAAAAGTGAAGGTGGTTTCAGCTACCCCTGGCCGGCCGAAAGTTAAGGTGGTGGTGCCGGACCCTCAACTCCCAAAAACGTCGACCGGGGGGGGGGGGGGAGAGAGGAAGGAAGCACAGCTCGAATTCTCCTTTCGCAAATTATTTCTTTTTCAAAAGTTCCATTAAATTCTTTATAATCGTATTTTAGTAAATAAATTTTGTTATAACGTACTGCGAAGAAAGTAGGTCGATCCAGGAAATGAACAAGAATTTTGAATGATAAAATAACGAAAAATCATGCGAAATTTCCACTGTTATAAATCTGGTGTTTGAAGATATCAGCACTTGCGACTTCATAGGTTTTTAAGAGTAAGTAGTGCTCTATCAGGTAGTGAAAAATCGAGTGATTTGAGAGATAGTTGCCGAAAACCAGAATTCTAAAAAAAATTACGTCATTTTAGAGTGTTTGAGTCAGGTGACAATTGAAAAGACAATGACAATCAAAGTCATATAAATCTTGAGTGTGAAAGTGTGTGATGTTGCGACTTCATAGCTTTTGTAGAGTAAGATTTGGCTTATCAAATTACATCTTAGCCGTACCGATCCATTGAAAAAGCGCCAAGATCCAGGGTCTTGAAAAAGCAGATAAAAAAGCGCTTTTTGAACTTCAACAGCTCATAACTTCTTAAGAATTGCATTATTCATGTTGCGACTTCATATATTAGATTCTACTCTTCAAGAGCTTTCAGATGGTATATAATATGTGGGGGTTTCACGCTTCTCACGTCATATGCCCGGGGGTGGAGGCTTTTCATCACAAAGTCTCCACTGGGGGCTTCCAGCCAATACATTAACATGGGCGATGTGGAGACTTTGGTATGAAAAGTCTGCACCCCGGGTTAGAGCCGCAAAAAATCATCGAACTTCTCACATATTATATACCATCTGAAAGCTCTTGAAGAGGAGAATCCAACCTATGAAGTCGCAACATAAATCATGCAATTCTGAAGGTTATGAGCTGTTGAATTTCAAAAAGCGGTTTTTACCTGTTTTTTTAAGAGCCTGAATCTCGGCGGTATCTCAAGGATCGGTACGGCTAAGACAAAATCTGATAGTGCAAATCTTACCCTACAAAAACTATGAAGTCGCAACATCACACACTTTCAAATCCAAGATTTATATGACTTTAGTTGTCAGCTGTCACTAAGTAACCTAAAATCGCTTAATTTTTTAAAAATTTTCGTTCTCGGCGGCCATTGCTCAATTCGACCTGATTTACCATCTGGGAACAGCACCTGTCCTTCAAAGCCTATGAAGTCGCATTTGCTGACATCTTCAACCACCAGATTTATAATAGTGGAAATTTATGGGAAAATGTCGAACAGGCGAGCACAAAGTTCTGGAATGTTCAGTTGGACGGTGGCAGGAAACGTCTCTTCGCATGATTTTGGTTATTTTATCAATCGAAATTCTGGTTCTCTGCGGTTACTGCCTGGATCGACCTACTACATAGATATATGCTCTTAATACTTTCTTTTACATTCCTTTTGCTTATTTTCCTTCTTTAGCAAAAAAAATTTTCAAACGCAAAAGTGAAGGTGGTCACCTTGTATCAGCTCAAAAGTGAAGGTAGGCGGAGAATCGGCTCCGACTATCGCACCTCTGCCCACGGAGCGTAGGCAACAGACTGATGTCTGAGCAATTTTGTGTACTTATGCTATCACGAAGATATCTAGACTGTGTACGAGAAAACACACAAGTGTAATTCCTTTCTGTTTCTGAGCGACAACAAGAAGATGCAAGTATTTTTTATCTGCAATTCGAAAAAGATAATTTGTAAGTCAGATTTACACTAGAGAAAGAAGAAGAAGAGGATTTTCCCAATATTAGTGTTAGAGTGTCACCACACGCAGAGACATTAACCAACCAAGTAATCGAGCATCTCACCGATCTGAGTCGACGTTTATCGTTCGCAGGATCAAACGTAGAAAAAGCAAAATGAACTCTCGAAAGTCGCTTCATAAAGTAATGCTATCCCATTTTTGAAACATGGCCACATCCGCTGAGCAAAGGCGGTGATGAAGCCGTAAAAAGTAGGGAGTGATCACATTGAGACAATTCATCAGTTTTTCCACCAATCGATCTTGTTAATTTTATCAAAGGAAACCGAACGCTTCTTTGCCAGTTCTCGTCACAGCCAAGCCGTGTGTAGTTCACTAGCAGAAGGTGAAAACTCAAACTCAACTTCGTTTCCTCGATCGAGGTATGCTTCTGGCAAACGAAAAATAAGAGCATTCTCCTTTTTTTTGTTATTTCCTCAAATTTCAAGAAGATCTATACAACAAGATATATTTAATGAAAAAAGAGCTGAAACTATCACTAAAAAACATAAACTGCTTCATGCATGAGACCCTATCACATGTGCAATCGAAAAGAATGATAGACTTTATTCTAGGAATGTATATTACATTGCTTATTATAACATTATTTACAGTGAGTACAATCGAAAAGTACGGAGTGTATACAAGCTATACAGAAAATCTTGCAATTTATGATAAAGAGGTGGATCATGGAGTAGCAAAGAGATGTTCAATGCTTGCATCCTCTTACGAAAAAGTTTTTTGAATGGAGGCAGTGTTTGCGAAGAAGCTCAGCCACAAACAGCTGAACCATTAAGTATTGTTTTGTATTAGTTTGACAAGCTCGTACTCATGTAGCAGTGATTACATTTTGACTGCAAGATAGTAAACAAACACTCTCGGCCCATTACAAGTGAAGCATGAAGCATTATTCATAAGACTAAATTGTACTGTACACCCACAATAGCTCAAGCATATAAGAAGAATCTGAAAGTGTAGAAAATAGAAACATCACGATATAACACATCCACTTTCGGTACTAGGGTCTTTTTCTGTTTGATAAATCTTCGCTTCCTCAACTGCTTTCAGTTCTTTCTTGCTTTTAAAGATCTTCGAGAAATCCGGCATGGATATTTTTGAAAGATTGAAGGAAGCGTACACGGCAGGCGTCCAGATCTAAATCGTTGAAAAGTCAAAACAATGTTATTGGACTTGGGAAAATATGCTTTCCTGTGTCCCGCATTCATACGACCTAAACTATCAAACATTTGATATTACGGATGACATCAAACATAGTTACATTGAAACTAATCAGTGAAAATAAGATTACAACATCTATCTCTGTATGAAAAATCGAAGTTCAATGAGATAATATGAGCGGCAAATTAAGATATAACCAAAAGTGAGCACATCACAAAAGTATGTACCTCTGCATGTGCGGGATAGTTAAATGGCTCAGGCTTCGCTACTCCATAACCAGGTTCTGGATCGAGTTTCGGGCATTCATCAGGGACCTTAAGTCAGCAGATACAATAAAAAAAGATATATCTCTTTTCCTTCTTCTGAAATTCTGAAGCCTTAAAATAATATAATCTTTTCACCCTTTTCCAAAATGTGTTTGATCCCATTCATTAGCAAAGAGTCTGAGAGCGAGATGGTTTTTAGCTCCTCTGCGCTTACCTTCACCTAAACCCCATTTTAACATAACTGATATCGCACAGCTACACTGCCCATTACCAGAACTTCAAGCGCGCATAAAAAGTCATCGTTTCTGGTCATGAGTCATCGGCCAGACAATCTATAGTTCGCATCTATACTCCCATTCCGCGAATGTTTTAGGGGTTTGATCACCGATTGTCATCCCTACTCCTTCCACATGATAATAGAAAAATCAAAAAAACATGTACAAAACAAGAAAAGAACAAAATAAACATACAATCTGATGGTAAATAAAACCGTTCTCCCTCTCAGCTTTTTCCAAATGCCGTTGCAGTAGTGGCTGTATTCTGCGAAAGAAAAGATGGCCCTCAGGTTTGATTCGTGTTCCTGAATCATGTTCAAAGGATGTTGAATTGTAAAAAAGGGTGAACACACCTGGCCCTGTAGCAGTACCATATTTAGACGCGAAATCTTTGGCGATTTGATATTCAGCAAATCCTTCCTTGCAAGCTCTACAAAACCAAAGACATTTGGAGCAGTCTCAGTGCAACAAGCAAGTATTCACCTAACAGCTTCTCCACATTTGTCCTCAGCCAAAAGACCTTCGCCTAGAAAGGCGTAACCGTACGCAAGGTAGAAGTGCTGCTTCAGCTGCAAATAACGTTTCCATCTGCCAAACACGTCGTCTTTGAATGATGCCAATTGATCACCTAGATCGAGCAATCATTCAGGATAGTAAGTCGAAACGTGATCTATAGACCCACCGGCTTTTCCAAATAAACTGGCAGTATGGGCAGCAAGTGCAGAGATAAGCGATGGGTTATGCTTCATTTCAATGGCACGTGCAATGACAACTTCCTGTGCTTCAGCAATAGCCTGCAGGAATGAAACAATAGTCATAAAGCGAAGGATAAGCAATTGAAGCGGAAAAACAGGCAGAAAAGACTTACCTGTAACTCATAGCCCCGCACAACTTTAGAATCAAAATCAGCACCCTCGTAGTCAGCTGCTCCAGAAAGTCTATCTAGAAACGAGTAAGTAAGCTAAGAAAAAATGTATACTGCATAGGTATGTGACTGAAAGATAACGTTTTTTGAACCAAATTGCAAGCTTTAAACTAAGAAACTCACTTAAATTTGATCCCACATAGGCGAACATCCCTGCAGCACGACGAAGGCAAGAAAGGCACTCTTTGGCTTCAACTTCCCGCACCTGAAGCATCTCTTGCACAACATCAGTTACTGGTAATCATATCGATACCTTGCGAAGAAAACATATGTAATATAAATAAAATGCATAATGAATATATGTATAATGATAAGTAATAGAGTAAATATATGACCATAAATATAAGAAAAACAGTAAAACATTCTACTCACTTCATCCTTACCCGCTACCCATGCAGCATGTTTCATAAGCCATATAGCCATACATTCGATGAGATTTAAGGCCTCAAACCATGAATCTGACTGCTCTCTGAAAGTATAAGAAGGATAGATCAGCCAATTTTCGACAAGAAAGATTAGAGGAAACGGAACTCACGTTGAAGCTGTTCCCAGCATAGAATGACCCCAATGATAACGAACAACAGGGACCAATTTGCTATTGGCTCGCGAGGGATCACCTCCTAAAACTCCGATTCAAATCGAACAAACAAATACAATGTGCAAAACGAAGATAATGTGAGGTCATTATGTGGAAAATATCATCGAAAAGAAAAGACGCAAATGACGAGCTTACCAGCAGCAAGAACACCAATATCAACAAGGAACCCGGCAAAAAGTCGGAGGTACTCAGTAAACTTTTCATCAACGTCCTTCAAATCGTTCCCAGCGTTTCTAAATAGCTCCAAGAGCTTTTCTCGGCGTAGCCGTAGTTCGCTGAAAATGTGGGCTTCAACAAAAGTGATAAAATGCGAAACCGACTTACCTGCAGATTTTAGTGGATTCATTAGAAGTGAGCATCCGCTTTAAATCAAATTTAACATGCTCCGTCGGTTTCATAGGATTGCGGTGAAACCAATGGGACATTTTTGATTATTTTACTGCTTGCTTGTGGGATCTAAAAAAGACATGAACGAATATCATCAGAAAAGAATGAAATCTTCTGAAATTCGAGGTTCAGAAGTAAACGGCAAAGAGGTAATGCATCGTCACCGCAGAAGTACGAATGAGTCATGAACAACATCCTTTCGCAAGGGTTCAGTGATGCGATCAGACGTGGAATACATGCTTTCGCATCAAGTACACCATTGCACGAGATTTGACGACAATTGAATGAATTCTTTGCATATCTCCAACGGTGTCTCGTAATTAGCGTTGCAATCAGAGTTCTCACATCAGGACCAGACGAACTTAGAGCTAACAGCACATTCTGCACGGAATCCCTGCCTCGCATATAGTAATGCCTACCTTGAATAAAAGATTTTCTACAAATGAAAGAACTGCCTTTCATTCCTGAAATGAACGAACCCGAGCTCAATAAGCTGAGCATGCCGTGCAAGCTCTTTGCAAAGATAATGTTTGCTGGCAGAGCAAGACCACGATGAAGCGCCATAAGGTCTCGGACAGAGTTCACACGATTTGATCATCGCGATTTACTAAAGGAACCACGATCAGCCTCTCTCTGATCGGGCCTTATAACTTGCCCTCACCAAACACTAGCCTCAGCTGTACAGCAAACAAACACATCAACAAGATATACATTTATGGGCAAGAACGGAACGACAACACATCAATATCAATGTGAACACAATCGAGATCAAGTGGAAGTGAGGATCCTGAACGAAGCACGAGAGACGGGTCTGGCGACCCAAAGACGACACGTCGCCAGACGTCCATTCACCATACTGCCGTATCGTTCCGCCTCTGGTCTTTATGCCCTGCTCGTCGAGTTATCGTGCCACCGATCTGTAAGCAAAGGGCGAGAAGAGAGCCTGGGAGAATAAACACAAAGCCTATGCAATAGCTAGAAATTTGAAAAGATCTGAGAGATCTCATTACTCACCCTGCTCTCTCTTACATCTCCCCCCTTTACGCAAGTCCGTCCTCGGACTTAGGGACGTAGTGGATGTAGCGTTGCGGGATCGAAGAAGTGCAAGTCGGTGATAAGGTTCTTGTGGGTGCACCATCGAATGACTTCAGTCCATGTGGAGGCGTTCTGCAAAAAGGTTAAGGCTCCTAGGATAAACATACCGTCTCGAGCACGCGAAAGGGCCACGTTGAGCCGCTTTGGGTCGGAAAAGAACGTGGGCTTGGCTGATGGCTCTATGTGCGTGCGTGTGGTGCAGAGGATGATGATAGGTTTTTCGGCTCCTTGGGCGCTGTCCACCGTGCCCACCGTGATTCCGGATCCCTGGAAAATGTTATCGCACAGGAATTTTTGATCCCTGTAAAGGCATATGACAAGTATATCCCTTGGTGCTATACCGTTAGTAATGAGCATGCGTGCGATGACATGTGCGGCATTGGCTTCTATGAGGTTGCTGTGAGATCCTGTAAGTGATTGCTCGGACTGCGATGGTACATTTATGAATGCAACGGGTATTTTGGCGTTGGGCATGCTGGTGTGCGCAAGTAAAAGCTGGCGCTGCTCGGGCGGGGTCCCACATACTAAGGTGTTACCATAGAAAATTTCTGAGTTGAGGTGCATCATTTCGACGTGGGAGCGGTAGACGGTGCGAATGTTACACGAAGGCATGCCTTGTTTACTGGTGACTAGGTCGAGGACCGAGCGCATGCTGACGTCCACTGCAAGGGGTACCGTTTGCGTGCCGATGTATGGCGGGAGCTGTTTGCTATCTCCTATAAGAGTGAAGCGCGCATGCTGGAATCGTGACATGAGGGCCATGAGAGCAGCTTCTGGAACCATAGACGCTTCGTCTATGAGAATGGATGACCATGAGTTCCCTATCCTGCGCCAGGTTCCTTGCTTGAGTGTGAGGTTCAGTGCGGATGATACAGTGCATAAGAACACATTTGGTTTGTACAAACGCAAAAATTGACTGATTAATACCTGAATATTTGTAGAAGTCCGTTCTTCCAAGAACAGAAGGCGTTTCTGTTCACTGGTAACAACAAATCGGTCTGTTCCGGAAAATACAAACTCACGTAACTGCTGTCTGGCCTTGGAGAAGTTCTCGAATTTGCGGTATAGGGCGTCGGACAGAAGATCCCTGTGAGTGACGTGGAAGTTTTCCATGAGTGTTTGGATGGCGAACGGGGAGGTGGTCAGTGTGTCACTAGCCAGGGTTTCGCTAACATATCGAACCGCGCGTATGTTTGTGTCCGCAAGTTGTTGAATTTTCGCGCCGATAACGTCTAATGCACTATTTTGTACCGCAGTGACTAGAATTTTCTGACCGTCCTTGACTGCATCCTTGGCCATGACTGCTGTGCACAAGGTTTTTCCTGCGCCATATGCGCTATCGACCGCGGCTATTGGGTATTGGCATTTGAAAAGGTTTAGAGCGCCGAGTTGATCCTCATTTGATGTAATGTGCGATCCGGCTATATCTGTCGAGTAAGACTCATATTCATAGTCGCCCTGACTATTGAGGACTATGTCAGCCGAAAGGAGCGCGCGGGCTGACGTCCATCCGAGGCTATCCGACCTAAACAGTTTGGAGAGGAGCGAATGCTCCATCATAGCCAGTACCGGGTTGGTACTGGATGCAGTACTAGAGAGAGATGTCGCCACTGCTATGCGTCCTGAAGGTGAATTAAGGAAATACATTCTACATCTCACACCGTCAGCGGTATCTAGTCTAGCGCTAATATGGAGATTTTCGCCTTCTTTGACAACGCTTGTAATTTTCCCTTTCAAAATGTCGGCCTCGTAGGCACCTTGGATAGGATGCCCGACTGCCCAACCGGTTCTTTTACCGACCGGAATAGTGAATTGCACCTCTACTGGGTAGCGGTTAAGGTCGGGAGAGGTCCAAACTGCTGAGTGGACTACCGTATCGGTGCTATCGGCCACAACGGCCGCTATTGTACCACAGGCTGTGCTGTATAATGGCTCTAAAAAATTGATGACCTCGGTGGGGCGTTTATCAAACATAGTGAAGTCCCGCAATTTATTCTGTACTTGCCGCTGATGTTCCGAAGAGGTGATTCTGATGCCGAATGGCGTTGGAGGCGGACTAGGGAAATACTGAATCTCGGCCATGTACGATGTCAGTTCTCTTGCGCCATCGGTTGGTTTACATGCGAACACCATGTAATCGAGCTGTCTGGGGCGGAACGGCGCGGTTATAAAGGAGTTTGCGCGAATTTTGTGGGAGTCATTCGGGTTTTGCAATCTGTTCCGGTTTACAATAACTAGTTGGCGGTGTCCTTGCATGTATATGTGCCATTTTGTCTTGATATGATGGACGCAACGAATCCCAGTGTTGGAGTGAGCTCGCGGTGAATGAGCGCAAAACGTGCTACGCGCCAGACGTTCGGTTGCCTCACATGGATTGCTTCCTCTACCGTACAAGGCAAGGTCATTTTTGTTGTGGCGAACTTGACCGTAGGAGCTAGGGCATATACCCAAACCAGGTCACCGATGATCATTTTGGTGATATCAATGCCTCGCTTACCTGTTTTAATATTGATTCCCACTGTATCGAGCTGGACCGTGTGGAGGTCGAGTCTATCCGGGAAGGTGACTTCTATGTGCACGGACGATAACTTGACTCCGCTACTGTAAAACGCAGATACACGGTAAAGAACTGGCGCTATCTTATTGTCAAGGACTAGGCCATGCACGGCTTCAATGGCCTCCTCTGGTGTTGCACGTTGCGCGTTCGGTATAATCGGAAGAGGTATGTTGTTACTGCGCATGGTGATCATCTCCTCGGCGTTATGTCTGTCCCTGAAATCTTCGATGGCTGTAGGACCTACTGCTTCTAGGATGCAGACGGGCTTTCCGCATCGTGGAATCGCTTCGGAGGGTTCCGGAAAAAGTCCATCAACTAAACCGCTGTATCCTAAAATTGGAATTCTTTCAAGGTTGCTCTCGGGTAAGTTAGAATCGTAGTATGGGGAGACAATGGGTGTGAATTTCTCCCGGAGGTGAAATGACCATGGGTGGGAGTAAAACACTTCGGTCTCCCTACTGGGCCTTGGGGGCTTATGCGTACGCTCCCTCTGCGGAGGCGCATACGTCTTAGATGTAGAGGGCTGTCCGGATGAGGCTTCCCCTGGTGCAGGTGGATGAATGGACGCCCTTTGGACCAATGTAATCAAAGAATCTGGAACAGGTTCGCTTAGTTTTGATTTTTTCGCAGGGTAATCATCGTCAGAGCTTGACGGCGATCGTGAATAACTGCGAGATCTTATGATCTTAGTCTTTTTGGTTTTGTATGATTTAGCCGATTCCTCGGTGGAGGCAATTGGCTGAGCCGAAGCGGACGTTGTCTGCATTGGCTCATAAAGCTGAGTTTCAGCCACCTCTGTTTCGAGGCTCATCTGAGACTCAGATGGATTGCTGTCATTGTCAGGGGAGTCATTCTCATTACGAGGAATTCTCGGCTGACCGTGACTCGCGTGAACAAATGAACGGGAAACCTGCGGTTGTGTATCCATTGGGGTCAGCACGTGGAGTACAGTCGGCTGGGAGCTCGTTCGCTGCTGGTGTAGTTCGTCTCGTCCGGAGATGTTGGCCGGGGTTGTAGAACCATGCAAGGCTGAAATGAAACGACAAGGTGATTACAACGGCGTTGCTTAATCGGCCTTTTAAAGAGATTTATGGTTACCGAGATTAGATGGTTCAGAAACCGAGTGTTTGACTGAGGGTCCCTCCTTGGAGGCGACGCTCATGTTAGGATCGCTGGAATACTGTTTTCGCTCGTGGGCACTCATTACCTGCAATGAGCAATATCAGCAGGCAATGAGTGTACGATATATGCGAACAAGAGACGACGGATTATAGCGAGGAATTACGAATACGAGTGAATCAAAAGAGAGGGATGAACATCAAAAAACAGCTTAAAAAGGAGAGGAATCAGGAATGTTTGGATTTGGATCGGAGATTGTAATTATGTGATGGCTGTGGAATTTCTGAGGACTGTTCAGATTGAATGGTTGGTTCTGGGTAGTCGCATCCGGCGAGATGATATTCTGGAAATTGGGTTAAGAACCGTTCTTCCTCTGGAAGAGTTGGTTGTGTCGCTGCAGGTCCTGTACAATCTATAATTTTCTTTATTTGATTCAAGTGTACTGTACGAAGTTTAGATGTAGGTGCAGTGATACTGATTATTATTGCATGGGGGTGTTCTACTTTGAGTACCCGGAATTGCCCCATCCACGGAAGGCATAACTTACGAGCTAGGCCTTGCTTATTAGAAAAATTCTTGAAAAGCACGCGATCGCCTTGACGGATTTGAGATGGGTTTGCTGTTTTATCGTACTGCTCTTTCATACGCTGCTTATAGGCGCGGGCATTTTGAGCGGCGTTAAACCATGCCGTTTGCAAGGCTGATACTAACTGCGCTTTGTACTCAGATGCTTCGTTTGCAGCAAAAATGGGTTGAGGGGTGCTGGGGTTAAGTATGCGGTCTACAGCAAAGATTGGATCCCTGCCAAACATGAGGAAGTATGGCGATTCGTTGGTGGCGTCGCTGACGGTAGTATTATAACAAAAAGTAACGAACGGCAGGAATAGATCCCAATCCTCGTGCTTGGCATTCACAAATTTGGAAAGCATGTTGTGGAAGGTACGAAATGTTCGTTCTGTGGCACCGTTGCCCATGGAATGGTAGGGGGTGGCGAACCTATGGTGGATTCCTAAAAGGCTACAGAATTCTTGGTAAAATTGCGAAGTAAAACTTGAAGCCTGATCTGACGTGAGCTCTGCCATCGCGCCATATTTAAGCACGCATTCTGTCAGGAGAGCGTGCGCGATGGTAGGTGCTTTAGCGTCGCAGAGTGGAACAGAAACAATGTATCTAGTGAACCAACAGACTATGTTCAGAATATACTTGTTACCGCGCTCAGTTGTTGGGAGGGGACCACATAGATCTAAGCCTACTTTGGCGAAAACTGATTCGCTATGAACTGGTATAAGGTATTCTTTGGATGTTGACGTACCTTGTCTGCGGAGCTGGCATATCATACATTGAGCGCACCATTCGCGGATGTCTGCGTAGATCGATGGCCAGTAGTACTTGCGCATGATCTTTGAGAGAGTTTTTCTCCATGACATGTGTCCTCCTGAAAGTTTACTGGAATGATATGCGTCGAATACAAGGTTTTTAAGTGTATCCGGAATAAGCATAAGTTCCTTGAAACGATTTTTACTTTGGAGTTTGTAATAGAGACAACCATCTTCTTTAAGGAGCACTCTGCTTGAGATTTCAAACAGATAAGACTTTTCGTCTTCGGACAGTGCGTTCGGCAAAGGGGTATTGGTTTTGACTTGGTATATGTTGTGCAGGAAAGCGTCGCTCCTTTGCTCTTGGGCCATATCTATGGAAGTTTCCATGCCACGGATGTATGTGAGTTTCGGCAAGGGTGCTGTCCTGGTGTTCTCGGTGGATTGCGTTGGCGACACGTAGAGGCTTACGGGGAAGTCTACGATGTCTTTAAGTTCGTCGCAGGAAGTGGAGGTGTCACCTTTGTCCTCGAAGACTCGCGACAAGGCATCTGCTACTGTATTCTTTTCACCTTTTATGTGTACTACCTTTATATCGTAGCTCTGCAACTCGATCATCCATCTGGCGAGGTTATCGTGCGTTTTGTTTTTACTAAGCAAGAACGATAAGGGTTTGTGGTCGCAATGCAGTATGATCCTTGTCATGCATATGTAGGGTTTGAACTGCCTTAGCGCATAAATTATGGCGCCCAGTTCAATTTGGACTGCTGGCCAGCGTCTTTCGGTGCTAGATAGCGTCCTGCTGCAATATGCAATAGCGTAAAATTTACCACTACCGGTTACGGTCTCTTGCATAAGTGCGGCGGCTTGTGCTACCGCGCTGGCGTCGGTGAATATGTGAAACGGTTGGTTGTAATCGGGGTAACCTAAAATAGGCTTTCGCAGCAAGGTATCTCTTAGCTCTATGAAAGCCGATTGCTGCTCATCGGTCCATTGGAATTTGGTATCTTTACGTGTTAGCCGTGTTAGGGGCTCGGCTATGTTTGCAAAACTAGGGATAAATTTCCTAAAAAATCCTACCATGCCTAGGAAGCGTTTAACTTCCTTCACGTTTCTAGGAATCGGGAACTCCCGGACGGCTTTTGTGTTGATTTGCGCGGGGGAATAACTGGTTTTTGTAATTTCGTGACCCAAGAAGGTTATCTGGTTTCGAGCGAATACACATTTTTTAGGTGACGCCTTCAAATTGAATTCTCGAAAGCGTAAAAGAACTCTTTCAATGGCTTCCAGATGAGAGGGGAAATCATCACTATAGATGAGAATATCATCTATGTAAGTGAGGACACTTTCATGTAGGCCTCCCAATACCTTAGCCATTATGCGTGCGAAATAGCTGCCAGCAGATTTAAGACCGAAGGGCAAATGTGTCATTTGGTATACTTTATTCTCTGTTATTACGCCGCACTTAAAGCTACTCTCTTCGTCTAGGGGAAGCTGAAGATATCCGCTAGCTATATCTAACGTGGTGTAGTAGCGGTGTCCGCCTATTTTCTCTAAGACATCGTCGATGCGGGGGACCGGGTAGGGGTCTAAGATAGTTTTAGGTGACCGCGTTTATGGGGCGGCGCATATCCAGGCATACTCTAAGGGAGTTATCCTTCTTGCGCACTACGACTAAGTTGTGTACCCATGGGGTATTTGATTCCTTCATCACGCCTACCTTAAGCAGCATATTGATATGCTTTTGTAACTCTTCCCGGTATTTTGCTGGGACCCTGTAGGGTCGGATTTTGGCAGGAGGATCGTTGTTTGTATAGATATGGACCTTTCCGGCCGTACAACTACCAATATCATACTGATGTTTGGAGAAAACATCGTCATACTTACAAAGCAGTTGCCGTAGTTGTGTGCGTTCGTGTTCGTTTATGTCGCAAATACTCAAATCTATGACGTAATTGCTTTGGTCAGTAGGGGCTTCACTGACGCATGATAGGGGGCTCAAGGGGTTACCCTGAAAAGAATGTTCACTGAAGGTTGACCCTTCGTGGTCAACAGGCAGTGCCTTTGCTAAACTCATGCCACCATAAAGGGTAATAGGCTGATTGGAAGGGTTAGAAACCAAAATGAATGGTGATTGAGCATTGATTAGTGCGGGAGCTACAACGAGGTCCCTTTTCATAATGCTTGCGGTCTGAGATACTAGCACTAGGTCTTGGCGTAAGGAGACATTCTGCACTTGACATGGAATCAACTTTTCGGTATTGGGTGGGATTATGATGGTGTCACTGACGCGAACACAATAAGTTGCTTCTTGTGGTGGCCTCAGGGGTTGTGTTAGGGGGATGGATGAGGTCCCGAACGAAACTTTTTGATTTTTGTAATCTATGGTTAGCGTGGGGAATTGTGAAAGAATATCGTTACCCAGGATAAGTTCGTAAGAGGAGTAAAGGGATGGCACGCAGGGTCCTTTGGTAAAATGTATTACTGCATGCAGAATGTGCTTTTGTATTTGAATTTTAACGAGCTTACACCCTGAAATTAGTACGTGATTTCCGGCCATTCCGATAGCAGAAGACGATACTGGGGGGTCAAGCTGATAAATGCCTAGCGCTGGACAAAGGTCTTTTGCTGCAAGGGTTATGCTGGATCCCGTGTCAATAAGAGCGGCTACGCTTATGTCGTTAACCTTTATTCTAATGTGTGCGGAAATAGTGTCGTTTGCGCCTGCTACATTGTAGACCTTTGGGAAATTTTGAAGTGGATATAGATCTGTTTGAGGATGCGGGCCCTCCGCTCTATTTTGCTGTGACGCTACGGGTGTGCTGCTATGGTTGTATATATTGAATGGTAAGGGTATTTGGGTCTTAAGATAGATGAGTAACAGGCGTCCTAGGAGTTTAATAGTGACTATTGTGCAGCATATGGCGATCCAGGGCTGATAAATATACGTGGAAAAAATGGACCCTAAGCTAAGATTGATTTCATCTGTTTTGGAGAGCGAGAATGAAGAATGTGAGGAGGAACTGGAGTGTATCTGCAGATGCTCGTTGAGAGTGGTGTGAGAGTTCTCGAATGCCGACCATAGTTCGGTAAATTGCTGATCTGGCAAGAATTCAGTGATGTTTGTGATGACAAGATTGTGAAAGAGTGTAAGCGCTGGGCGAATATCCTTCTGTGGAGAGTTTGCGGTGTGCTGCAGATTAACTACTTCCGATGGTGAGATGCGCTGATAAGTTGCCGTTAACGGGAAAAATTTAATAATTGCGTAATTTGTGGGGAACTCAAATGAAATGGAGGGTTCGCAAGGAATTTTAGTGGCTGTTTTTGTTAGGATATTTGTAGTAGGATCGATAAAGGTGCTCCAATGTGACTTATCCGGAAGAGCAATTTCAACGAGAGGGAGGGAGAAACAAGAAGAATTAAAGCGGATCAAACTATAAGAAGAATTTGATATTGTGATGCAAGATTTGGTGCGGACGATATGATTGCCCAA